CCACTACCATGACCCACCCGACCCACCTGACCTGACCGACCCGACTAACATGACCGACCCGACTAACATGACCGACCCGACTAACATGACCGACCCGACCTGACCTGACTGACCTGCTGCTACTCACCATGTCGCTGTAGATCTCATCCGCCAGAATGGGAACACAGAGCTTGGAGGCAACTGGAAGACAGAGGCATCGAGGTGAGACACTGATGGAACCGTTAAACCTGTCAGAGAGGCTCAGCTCACCTGTCAGGATGTTCTGCAGGTGCTCCTGGCTGAACACGGAGCCGCAAGGGTTGGACGGGTTGGTGACGATCAGACAGGAAGTCCTCTCGTCCACCAGGCTCTCCAGGTGTTGCAGGTCGATCTCCCACGACTTCTCAGGCTGAAAATGCAGACGGGGTCTCTGGGTCAGGATTCAGTTTTAAGGCACGATTTGTTTCTCCTGCTTCAAGTTCAGAAAACCGATATGCACATTCCATAAAATTACAATAAAACCAATAGACTACTGCAGTCCCATATACAGTAAGATGCTGTTAAAATTAATCCATAAAATAACTGTATTCTTGCGTAACAGCAAGTTACTGTTGATATACTATAATTCAGTTTAATGTAATGTACAGTTCAAACAAATGACAGAAAGTAAACTGTGAAACTGACAGTTCAGGTTAGAGATGCACTTCCTCCCCTCAACCCGAAACCATCTGGTCTGAGGGGAACTGGTCACAGGAAGCAGCTTTTCTCACCAAAAGATCGTAGAGTTTGACCTCGACGCCCATGGAGACGGCCAGCGTCTTATACAAGGAGAAGCCGGGCCGAGGGACCAGGATGTTGTCTCCTGGGTTACAGAGGACGCTGATGGACAGCTCAATGGCCTGACTGCAGCCGCTGGTCAGGATGATGTCCTGCAATGGAGACAAGCTAAGCTAACGGGCAACGGAGACAAGCTAAGCTAACGGGCAAGAGAGAGTACCTCTGCCTCCAGTGGAGCTTCAGGTCGGCTGTAGAAGTTTGCCACGGCCTGCCGGCTCCTCAGGTAGCCTGCAGAGATGCAGAGATGAGGGATGCAGCTTTGCAGAGATGCAGCGCTGCGGCGTCGGGACCTTCAGGTCTCCAAAGACTCACCCACAGATGGAGCGTAGCCGTTGAATCTCTGAGAGTCGATGGCATCCTTCATGGCCTGGAGGACGGCGGCGTCCGTCGGCAGGTTCCCAAACACGGTGGGGTCACCTGCCAGACAACTGACATTAACTTCCAACAACATCCAACATTAAACATTCAGACATCAAACGATGAGAAACCCGTTATTAATGGCAAACACAAAGTGTTTACTGGAGACATGTTTCACATTTTAATGAATTTAACTTCTGCTTCTTCAAAGGAAAGTCTAATTTATCATTTTTAAAGTCTGAATTATTAGTCAGAGAAGACTCTTAGATCTGAGTCTTAATTATGAAAATCAGGACTTTGGGGCTTAAATGTTAATTTTAATGTCATAGGGAAAGTCTTCTTTTATAAATATGACTAATTTAAAATGGAAAGTACAAGCTCATGTTTATTATGTAACGTATCCGTAGCAACCATTCTACAGCACACGAGACCCACCAATGGACAGAGAGATCATGGGCTTGGCCGGGTTGGGGATCAGCTTCATCCCGTCCACAATGGCCCGGATCGGGTTCAACGTGTTGCGGGACATTTCTGACGGCTTCACCTCCCAGCGCTGCCTGCGGCTGTGCGGCTTTGCCGGAAACAGGCCGCCGACCTTCCCGCTCAAGGTCAGGGGCTTGCTCTTCATCTGAACCACGTAGGCCTTGGTGTCCATCCTGCAGGACAAGAAGCAGCAGCCAGACCAGCTGGCGTGTTAACAACCTGGAGATCATCTGATCAACTGGAACAAAAACAATCCAGAAGCAGAAAAATAATCCACTAAATACTTTCATTTATCATTTTTAATTTTAAGTCAAAGAATAAAAAATAGGTCAAATTTCTCATATTAGATTTTTCTTCAACTCTAAAAATCACTGAATGACTTTAATATTTAACACATAAAAGTAGGTGGTCTAATGTTATTTATTATGTGTGATAAACGTAAACAAGCAGCAATAAAACATTTATGAAGTAAAACTGATGCATTTCATTTACAGTGATCCCTCGTTTTTCCTAGGTGTTGCGTTCCGAAAATAACCCGCGATCAGTGAAATCTGCGAAGTAGTTACCTTTAGTTTTTACAGTTATGACACAGCATAAATAAATACTCTACATTGAAACCAAAGAACAAAACCTGTTTTCAGATCAGCGGATGTTCATCAATCGGGCCTTAATGTGATCCGGAGTCATGTCATTAAAGCGTCTCCTCCAACCTGCCCCGCGAGACTCACAGCTGGATCTACGGCAGAGCGATGGATCTTGTTAACCGAGCCTCCGGTCAGGTTTTGTGCTGATTCTGGCCAGTTTTTTCCAGCAGGCATTCAAAGTTTTCAGCTCATCTCCTGAATGGCCAATCTGTATTACTTCTATTTAAATACCGTAACATTATTGGCACACAGGTAGAGAAGGAGCTCGGAGACTGTTTAGCCAATCAGGACGCAGAACACAATGCACTGTGAAAAAAACGGCACAAAAAAATCCGCGAAGCAGCGAGACGGCGAAAGGTGAATCGCGTTACAGCGAGGGATCACTGTGTTAATTAATCTCAATTAACTAAATAATAAATAAAACCTTAATTTCCGAGTAATCTATCACATCATTAATGATCAAACCTTCTTTCACATTTCTATTTATTTCTTGTTTTAGTACATTCTTAGATCTGAATAACTTATAATTTTAAGAGACTAAACTAGTCCAACCAGTAATTCCTCCAGTCTTGTTAGGCAGGATGGGAACACAAATACAGTTTTTAGTTTGAATTCATTTGAATTTCTTTCAAAAATTTTGTTAATTTAAACATCTGCCATCATTTTATTTTGCTTATTTAAGCCAAATGTTGTAATGTTTTAAAATCACAGCGAACTTTAAAAGGCTTCATATCTTCCTGCCTGGAGGTCTGGCAGGAAGCAACTCTGGTTTTTACCGAGTTTCCTCTGATCAAACCATGGCTTTGCTAAACATCGTTAAACTTTGTTAGACTTTGCTGAACTGTCTTTATCGCTGCAGAATGATTTATGAAATATTTGAACTGTTGGTGTCGATCGCTGAGTGTTAAGCACTGAGTCGACCGAGACTCTGAAATAAGACTGACCTCTGACCTCTGACCTGGGCCTCTTCAGGTTAAGATTTGAAACAGAAATGTTCAACATGGTTGAATGCTCAGGGTGCAGCATTTTTTTATTCTTATTGCACGTTGGTCAACTGACTGCTTGTTGTAAAGGATTATAAAAATGATCATCATTATTAGGATTTTTATTTTGCTGATTTAACTGAGGGCCTCTTCTGTGACATGTTGCTCTAGATGTTTCTACTAAAGTATCATCAGCAGATAATTTCTTTAAATCCTGAAACATTCGGGTTGCCGTGGTAACGGGCCATCCTGGAGCCACTGTTCAAGTAATTAGTAATTACTAGAGTAACTGGCATCCAGTCCAGCAGCAGCTCATCAAAACTTTCTGCTGCAACATTTACTAGCAAATAAACAAATGATGACATTTGAGTCAGTAAATTACATTTTCATTAAATAAAATTAATTTACATGGAAGCTCATAAATTAGCTCCTCGTCCATCATTAACTGCAGCAGATCCTCATTCATTCACCGTCACCACTTCACTACAATAATGTAACAAAATCATTTTACCTGCTGAACGCTGCTGGAGAACCGCTCAGGATTTTATCCAACAGGACCACTGGAACCAGAACCACTAGAACCAGAACCACTAGAACCAGAACCACTAACGTCCAGCTGCTGGGGAACCGCTCAGGATTTCATCCAGCAGATCAAAGCTGCTTTTATAGATGCTGAGCAGCAAAACCTCCACAGACGCAGAGCTCCCATTGGCCGAGGCCGGGGGCCGAGCGGGAACGCCCCCCGTTCCCCTCCATCAGTAACCAGAACCAGACCGGCTGCAGCAATTACTGGGAGGGCATAGTGGTGGGTATACTGGTGCTGGGGGGGCGGCTGCGTTCGTCACGCGGAGGCAAACAGAGATCAGCATCAGAGCAACAAGCTGCAATCGATTGAAGTCTATCAGAATCAGCTTCAGAACCTGCAAGTTCTGATCCGGTCCAAACAGAACTTTCCACCCCTAGTGGGGGAAAGTAACAACCTGAATACTGCATCTATACAGTGAAGCAAGGTGGTGGCAGTGCCATGCTGTGGGAAGACGGATCAGAAGCTAATGGGGCTAACTAGCCTCTCCGGCCCGTCGGGGGTTAATCTCGACCCGCTGCCCGACCCGGTTCTGTTCCGATGAAATGACGCAACAGTTTGCTCTCTGCGGGCCGTCGACCTCACGGCGCAAACAGAACCTCGGGTCAACCCACAGCAGCCGGGTCGATACCTGGCCCGTTCTCCGGTTCCCCGCAGGAACCAACCGGACTCTGACCTCTGTTTCAGGGGAACAAATATGATACGACACAAACACACTGACACCACAGAACACTGCTAATCAGGCTGGACTGGAACCAGGACCAGGACCACAAGAACCACAGTAAATCATCCCTGACCCAACAGCAGCTTCTGGAGGTGCCATCACCATAGCAACGATGAAGCCACCGTTCGTCTGGTTGGCAGAACAGGAAGTGAATACTTTCCCAACCCAGGTTCTGGTTCTGACACCAGAGACGATGTCTGCTTCTTCTTCTAACCTAACCCGATTGAACCCTTCTGGCTGAGGCGGGTTCTACCGGGTTCTGGACCATCACCAAGCAGAGGAAGTTCAGTGTTTACAATCTTAAAAGTGCGGCATGTGTTTTTCTTTCCAGTAAACCCAATTGGGTGCTGGAACTGGGTCAAATGGGACTCTGATACCGGATCCAGATCAGAACCGGTACTGATTGGACCCACTGCTGTGAGGTCAGAACATCAAAGTAGGTTCATTACTGCATTCAGAGTCTAGAACCAGGACCGGCCCGGTTCCGTTTGGACTCTACTTCCCGTCCTCAGAGGGAACCGGACCCTCCGGACCTCTGACAGGAATCTCTTCCTGTTGACGTGAGGCCGGTAGTCCGGGTCTCTGCTGGCCCGGCGGGCTGGACCGGGCCGGCGGGACTGACCGGGCCGGCGGGACTGACCGGGCCGGTCCTCCGGGTCGCTGATATCGAAAGAGCAGCACTGCTTGGCGCTCAGTCGGGTCAGAACCACACACGGCTGCAAGCGGCCCAGAAGGGCTGAGGTTCTGGAGCCGGCAGGAGAACCCGGCTGGGATCTGGACTGAACGGTTCTGCTGGTTTGGGTTTCACAATGGATTCTGGTGGAGTTCTGATGGACACCTGGCTGAGCTGGGTCAGCCAGAACTGGTGAGGCCCGGTTCTGTAGGTCAGACGAGGGGGCAGTCCTTCCTCCCAGAATCGGGCCAGAACCTGCAGGCTCCAGGACGTTTTGGTCCACTGATGTCTGGTGGGCCCAAGAACCCGGACCAGAACCACAGGAAGCTGCTTCGACCAGAATCACGGAGACAGTTTGAGACGGATTGGATCCGAGTCGCCTCGAGACGTCCTCCAGCCGGACCACTGGAACCAGCAGGACGGGTCCAGCAGAACCGTCTGAGGGTCTGGGTAGAGGAGAGACCAGGTCCGCCGGCGTCTGATCCTGAGATGAGGACAGAACCGGGGTCGGGTCGGACGGAACCGGGGTCGGGTCGTCCTCAGCACAGCCTCTCAGGAAGTTGTCCATCCAGCACTGGTGCTTGGAGCAGAACCGAGGGGACAGGGGAACATCCTCCTCTTCCACTGCCCCTGGTTCTGTTCTGTCCACTGAACTGTTGGGTTCCCCAACATCTGGACTGGAACCAGAACCGACCTGCAGGACCCAATCAGCCCCAGGCCGTCCCTGTTGGGACATCTCTGAGGGACGAGCGTCTGGAGGACAGAAACAGAGACATCTGGACTGGCTGGAAGGATCGTGGTGTGAATACTTTATTGTGTTTCTGTATGGATGGTGAGGTGTGAATACTCCTCAGAGTAAGAGTAGACCACGCATTGGCAGGACAGGCGGCGGCCATCTTGGAGAGGGCGTCTGTCCCACTCGGCTAAGCTAACAGCAGGAGATCGGAGGATAGCTTTTCAGAAAGTGACATGAACATATTATCGTTATATATTGTGAATAGAATATTATACTGTATTTATGTCCAAATGTCAGCTAATATCACTCTTGGTGTAATTCCAGGATTCAGTCCCAGCTTCAAAGGCTAACAGAGATTTTATAAATTTTGAAAAGTTTTAATTATTTTCCAACAAATACTTAGGTTATCTGACACCTGCCAGATTGCACTGACTGAATCAGCGATCGCCCTCTCCAAGATGGCCGCCACACAGCAAATAGCTGAAGTTGCTCACCACACTGCAGCAGCTTCCTCCCAGCTAATGAAGGTGCGCTCTTCTCATCCTCATCCTCAGGATGTTGACTCTTCATCATCTGAGTCAGAGTAATGACACTCGGTTTGGGCCGGTTCGGGTTGGTTCTGCCACTCCAGGTGTCTGCAGGTAGCGCCCTTCGCAGCTCCTGCAGGTAAGCTAGTAGCCGCTGCTCCACCTTTTGGGCGTAGCGCTCACCGTAGCACTCCTCCATGTCACCCTGGAGACAACAACAATCGTTCTCATTGGTTCATGTAATCAACGGCTTTCTGGCTCAGTCATACAATGGACTAACACCAGCCAGTGACTCTGTAGAAATAACAACAATAATAATCATCATCATCATCATCTTTGTCATTATAGAAACCATAGAGTCTCTGCTGGGCCTTCTTTGTCAGTTCTGCAGTGTTTACATCTCAGGCCAGGTTATCCATGATATGAACTCCCAGGAAACTGAAGTTTGACACCTTCTCCACCTGCTCTCCGCAGATTTTTATTTTTAATAATAGACCCCTCAGTGGCTGCTCGGGTGCAGGAAATATGGCAGCTATCTTGGAGCGGTCGTCCCTCCTACTTGGCTAAAACCAAAACAGTAGAAGAAGCAAGAAGGACCTCGCTGCAGTAAACAGAAAGGGGTGGGGACAGACCACTGGCAGTCTCATACCTTTGTGATATTCTCATTTAATGTAATTATATTAGTTGTGCTACCACCCCCACGCCACTAGAGGCAGCAGTAGACCTGAAAAGATGCAACTAAGGACAGATTTAGAAGTGCACAGAAAACTACAGAATGTTAAAAAACTGAGCTGCGCTGAAGTAAATAAAATAGAGAAGTTAAAATACATTCTGAGAGTGAAACTCCTTCCTCAAGATGAAAATATATCACAGATTTCAAAAGAAAATAAAAACGGGAGAAACAGATAACATAGGAAGTATCTCCCCCTTCGCTTCCGGAGTGCAATAGTCCCATTTCCAAATAAGGCAGGAGACCATAGACATAATATAAGCATAGACGCCTCATGGACCGCTCCGGCGCAGGAAATACGGCGGCCATCTTGGAGCGGTATAGCCTCCTACTTTGCTCAATCAAAACAGCAGAAGATGCCTCAGCACTGATCGATGGATTATTGATGTGAGGGCTCAACAGACAACATTTCACAAGTAAGATGGACATATTATTGTGTATATATTGTGATTAGAATATTACTTTACTGTATTTATGTCCACCGGTGAGATATCAGCTAATATTAGCTACAGTGCTTGGTGTAATACGGGTTCAGCCCCGCTATGAAGGCTAACTGAGATTCCGTAAATCTAAAAAAAAGTTAATTATTCTCTAACATTGACTTAGATTATCTGACACAAGGGCCTATATTAGAAATGAAACAATATAACACATACAAACAATATAACATTCACCGGCAAAGTTTACACAGGTGGTAAAGACTATTATTTATATTCTTTCACTCTGTCAAAGTAAGATACATCCTAAATCTTCCGTTTTTGTTTTGAAAGTTTCCTAAAGACACGATGTGAGGAAGAAGAGGGAGATATCTATAAAGAGAGACAGATTCACTGCAGCACGAATGAATCTCACATCGGATTTTGGACTCGTCGGCTGAAAAACATATATATATATATATATATATATATATATATATATATAATTTATTCAGTATTAATCATTATTTATTTGTGCCATTATTAATCTTTATTTATTAGTGTTTGTATAGTTATATAAATATGTATTGATATTACATAATTTATTAAATAAATGATGAACGGCTGTGTGCTTTGTAATATGCTCTTCATACATCGATATCAGAATATTCCATTCCTGTTCATCATATTTAAATATGATGAACTATGTATTAAAAACATACTTAAAAAATACAATTGTTTATAAATGTTGCTTTGATAGATGTTTGAATATGGTTTACAGTAACAAAAAGTGTGTTATGATCGATTAAATCCGCTGATACATCATTGTGCCTGCTAAACACATAAAGCTGAGTGGAGTGGAGTACCGCTCCAAGATGGCCGCCCTAAATCTCGTCAGCAACAATAGGCGAGAGCGGTCCATGAGGCGTCTATCCTTATATTATGTCTATGCAACCTGACTTGAGACAGTTTCAAAAGCAGGAAGTGGGCTACAGTGCAGGACTTTCTGGTCATAGATTACTCTCTGCTGTGCAGATTTACGAAGATGTTGTGGTTGTCATGGCAACGCGTCTGTGTGCCGATACAGAAAGCAAGGAAAAGTAGAATATAAATGGTTTAAAGTTATTTTACTGTTTAAATCCCCATTGCTGTGGCGCTCTGCAGCTGCTGTAATTTTTAAACCTTTAATAAATGACAAAAATGTCATGCCTCGGTTGTTTGAACATTTAATCATCAAATAGGATGACATATTTCATATGTCCCATATATAAAGTGTACGAGTCATGGTTTGTTACATTTGGAGAAATTAATAAAATTAACAGCAGCAATTGTGTAATTAATCACCAATATAAAAGAGCAATTTGCTTAGTTCTCTCTTGCATCTTGATGGAAACCAAACTGTTTATAGATTTATATCAAGGGAGAATATTTACAAGCAGCTTTAATCTAAGCCATGTTTATAGAAACCGGGTAAGAAGCTCTATGCCGCCCCCTGCTGGACATAACCAGCAGCAGAGATGGAGGCTCAATCCAATCAACAGGTCCAATCGGGTCCAATTGGGTCCTACTGACCTTCATGTAGTCCTGCAACCTCTCCTTGGTGAAGGCCAGGTTCTGGACCAGGCGCCTGAAGTCGGCCTGGTTCTTCCTCATCAGGAACATTTCTCTCTGGCTCTGTGGAAGCAAAAGGATCGGCTCCTGGATTCGCACCAACAACCTCTGACTGAGATCAAAAGCAGCTCTGACAGTCAGCACTCCGGTTCCAGTTCAATCCAACAGAACTGGTACCGCTGGTTCTAGTGGGTTAGATACTTACACACTGATCTTCATACTGAGGCAGCTTGTTGGGAAAGAACCGGATGATACTGGACACAATGTGGACCGTCCCTCTGCCTTCCTTCAGCATCTGCATGATGACCTGCAACAGAACCAGAACCTTCAGAACCAGTGGTGGCGCCAGGGGTGCTATAACTCTCCCAGGAAAAGACATAGCACCTCCAGAAAATATTAGATAAATTTTTTTCCATCTGATTTAACATTACTTATATGTAGTTGTTGTGGCATTTTCATCAAAAGTCACAAAACAAAAATAAATTATATACCGAGTTAAAAAAAAAAAAAAAAACATCCCATAAGAGGATTTGAACTTTGTCTATGTTATCACTTCCAGGAAATGATGCCGGCTCCGCCCCCATGCAGACGTGGAGCATTTCTCCCCCAATCATTCCAGGGTATTTGTTAGCAACTGACCAATCGGTGGTCACAATTTGTGAGAAAATATGTCCCTTATCTAGATGAACTGACTGGATGATATTGATGGTGTTTATCATAGTAAACTACAGCATGTTAGTCAGCATGAAGGTAACCGGTACTAAGCACATTTTTTTATCATAATAGTGATAGTCAAATCAAGCCATGTAGCGGTTAATTAGGCAATTAAATTAACACAAGTTAAGTTAAAAAAATAAATAAAAAACAAATATGACAATATGACCCTTTGCACCTGACGTCACTGTCTCCACCTCGATGGATGTCCAAACCTGTTCTCTCCTGTATAAAGCCTGTGGTAGCCTAATATCGCTTTTTTTTAGTTGATTTCGCAGTAAAATGGTCACAAAGTGCTGCAGGTCGGCTGCACAAACAGACAAGGGTCAAAACCAAGCTTGTCATTTTATTTGAATGAGGAAAGATGCAGCAGTCAGTCATGATGACTGGGAGCTCTTGGTGTAACCGCGGATTTACAGCTAACACTTTATACACGGCAAGAAGATTAACGTTCATATACTTTATAAGTAAATATGGTTAGAAAGATATCAAATATCGCATTATGGAGAAGGTAGCGTCTAACAGTAACCATGGAAACAATGCCACGCAGTCAGGTAGCCTAGCATGTTTGGAAAAAACATGATGTCTCGTCTTCTGTACGTTTTTAAGGCTGCTCCGGTTTCAGGGGAAACGCTGTTTATGACATAGTGACATAAATCATGTGGTGTGAATTCAGGCAAAGTCTGTAATTTGATCAACACGTCAGGAGGGAGGAGGTACGGCCGGTTTTTAAGCTAGCTGTAAATGGCGCCGTCTATGAGCCCAACCAGGTGTTACGTTCACAGACAAATTAGCTCGATTCCAGCAAGTAGAAACCAAGAATAAAATGACAAAAACAACTTGGAAAAACAAGTTTAGCCGCTCAGTTCAATATTCCAGATTCTCATTTCCGATGTACATCATGGCGCTTCAAATGATTAAGTGACGTAGATAGGGTTAGGATCAATACTTGGGTATCCCCTTTGTCATAAATGCTGATTTAAACACGAAGCTGAAGTTGGTTTCCAATTCCAGCTTCCAATAGCTAAAGGGTGATTCCACTTAATGTTTCACTACTTTCCGCATCTTTAATCAACTCTAGTTTAAAAACTACAACTCCTAGACACTTCAAACCTGGACTAGATTATTCTGCTCTAATAGCAGAATATTTATAACCATGTTAGTGATTTGTGAAACCTTTTCCTGATTTGTGAGAACTCAATAAAGTTCAATAATCACTATTTTTGGCACCTCTTTCATTACTAGAACTGCTCTAATTAAAAAAACTACAACTCCTAGACTCTTCAAACCTGGACTAGATTATTCTCCTCTTCAAGCAGAATATTTAAAACCATGTTTGGGATTTGTGAAACCTTTTTCTGATTTGTGAAAACTCAATGAAGTTCAATTTTCACCATTTTTTGGCATCTGGATCGCCATAGATCTACTCTAATTAAAAAACTACAACTCATAGACACTTCAAACCTGGATTAGATTATTCTTCTCTAATAGCAGAATATTTTAATCCATGTTTGGAATTTGTGAAACCTTTATGTGATTTGTGAAACTTCACTAAAGATCAGATTACTATTCATATCCATGCAGTTTTTTTCAAATTCAATTCTAATTCAAAACCACTTTATTAATCCCAATGGGAAATTAAATGTTGGTGTAACTCATTAATTCTTCAGTTATTGTAGATGGTGATGGCTGTTGGAAGGACAGATCTTCTGCAGGGGTCTGTTAAGTGAAGTTTCACAAATCACAAACATGGTTTTAAATATTCAGATTGAAGAAGAAAATAATCCAGTCCAAGTTTCAAGTCTCTAGGTGTAGCAGTTTTTAAACTATAGTTGATTAAAGATGCGGAAAGTAGTGGAAAAATTAAGTGGAATCGCCCTTTAGCTATTGGAAGCTGGAAACGATGTAATATCTGGAAGTAATCTGGCTAATGGCTCAAGGCTTCATC